CTCAGCCCCATCCAGAGTCCACCTCAGCTGCGTCCAGAGTGCACCTCCCCCTTCCAGAGTCCAGCTCCCTCCCATCCAGAGTCCAGCTTCCCCGCTTCAAAGTCCACCCTCCCCCCATCCTGAGTGCACCTCCCCCATCCATCCCTCTCTTCTTGAGTCTAGATGCCCCCATTCAGAGTCCACCTCCCCACCATCCACAGTCCACCACCACCCCATCCAAAGTCCACCACCATCCCACCTTGAGTCCACCTCCCCTATCCAAAGTCCACCTCCCTCACTTCCAGAGTCTAGATTCCCCATTCAGAGTCAACCCTCCCCCCATCCACAGTTCACCTCCCCGCCATCCACAATCCACCACCACCCCATCCAGAGTCCACCTTCCCCATCCAAAGTCCACCTCCCTCTCGTCCAGAGTCTAGATTCCCCCACTCAAAGTCCACCCTCCCCCCATCCTGAGTCCACCTTCCCACCATCCACAGTCCACCACCACCCCATCCAGAGTCCACCACTGCCCCATCCTGAGTCCACCTCCCCTATCCAAAGTCCACCTCCCTCTCTTCCAGAGTCTAGATTCCCCCATTCAGAGTCCACCCTCCCCTTATCCAGAGCCCACCTCCCCGCCATCCACAGTCCACCACCACCCCATCCAGAGTCGACCTCCCCCATCCAAAGCCCATCTCCCTCTCTTTCAGAGTCTAGATTCCCCCATTCAGAGTACAGCCTCCCCCCATCCAGATTCCACCTCCCCACCATCCACAGTCCACCACCGCCCCATCCAGAGTCCACCACCGCCCCTCCCTTAGTCCACCTTCCCCATCCAAAGTCCACCTCCCTTTCTTCCAGAGTCTAGATCTTCCCATTCAGAGTCCACCCGCCTCCCATCTAGAGTCCACCCTCCCCCCATCCGGAGTGCACCTGTAAAAGGATGAGGCTTGCGGAATCCTTGATCACAACCATTTACCATTTGCTATTTTATTATATGTTATTTTGTGTGTTTTTCCTTTCCTGGAAATCCCTACACTCTTTCCTACACATTGATATATTATATATCATATGTGTTAGAGTGTTCTGGACTTTCCTTGCGAGACACGTTTTCTATGGCGGGGAGTGATCTGTCACCGCCACTGTATCTCTAGAATCCCTACCGTGCTTCTAGGTGGTGTCCCTACGGACGGCTCTACTCATTTCTAAAACTCTCTTAGAAGGTCTTTGTTAACGTTCCCTAGAGTTCTCGTAGGTATAAATAGGATTGTGTCTTTGCTTGTATTCATTGAATTCTCAATTAGTATCATTCAATCTTCCGCTAAATCTTGGACCTGTGACAGCACCTCTCCCCATCCAGTGGCCACCTCCCACCCAACTAGAGCCAAGCTTCCCCCATCCAGAGTCCATTTCCACCCCATCTAGAGTCCATCTCCACCCCATACAGAGTCCACCTCCACCCCATCCTGAGTCCACCACCACCCCATCCAGAGTCAACCTCCGCACCATCCGGAGTCCACCTCCACCCCATCCAGAGTCCACCTCCACCCCATCCAAAGTCCGCCCTCCATGCTCACCTGGCGACGCACTCCACCCCTCCCTCTTCCCCCCACCCCCCATCATTTGCTGACCAGCCAGCAGTGCACGTGCAAAATGGCGTTGCATGTGGGAGGAGGAACACACCCAGCACAGCAGGTGGTGTCAGGGGCCCGCCAAGGCCCGGTGCCCATGACATGCCACGTGGGTCCTCACGTCACGGTGTGGCGTGTTGGTTTGACGGGGAAGTGTAGGCTACAGGACAGGGTCGCCATAGTGGACGATCTGATTTATTTCCTTGCCCAACATGCCAAGGCCGCAGTGGAGAGCCTCGAGGAGGCTGCGCTAGCTGGAGGTGAGCTTGATAATGATGGGCGACAGATGTGGGTGGTGTTTCAATGGGTTCTTACCAACAGTTATGGGTCCAATCTTGCACACATCCCCCGTGTCGTATATCTATCAATCCCACAGTCCTCCAAGACGATGCCAAAGCCGCATCAAAGCTGTTGGAGGGACACAAGAAAGCATATGGGATCATATTCGTGAGCCGCATGAGAGGTGGACCCGCCTCTGCCGCACAACTCCTAGCCCGAACCACTGGGGCTCTCCCTAGGGTCAAATTCGGTTTTCTGCTTTGCAAGTGGGCAAAGGCCGGAAAGTATAGACTGGCTGAGGGAAGTGGATGGGGTGGCGCACGCCAAGGGCAAGCCTACGAGGCACAAAAGGGTAAGGCATTCTGGATCTTTGGTAGGGGATGCAGTAGTGGGATTTGGGAGTCGGCGTGTGATGGACGCATGAGCCTGCCTCGCGGGAGTGGAAAAATAGGTCCTCCTTTGTGCTTATGCTACCCCACAGAGGGGAGTGCTGCAGAGGGAACGGAGGGTTCCCCATCTTGTGGTGAGCGCCATGGGGGGGGTGGCGAAGAGGGCCTTACGGTGTCGACACGCGCACCCCATGCGCAACCGATAGAGGGGAACGCATCGACAGCTCACGAGGCGCCGGCGAGGTAAGGAGGCAGGCTAGAGTCAGCCATTCGAAGCACATGTTCGTCACCCATCCCCGTAGCAACACGTGCAAATACAATAATGTATCAAACCATAATTTTTTTGTCACCTGTACATTGAAAAACGCCTCACTTCCCCACACCTACTTTCGTAATGCGATTTGTCATGTGCTCCCTGCACCATTGTCGTACCTTCAAACTTGCTTTCCCTTTGCGTAGGCCTTGCCTAAACCCCCCCCCCCCCACCCACCGCCCCCCTTTCCCTCTGCTCAAGTCATTGCTGTGCCCCAGCTGTTGCCATGTCGATGCACATGTCTAGGCCTATGCCTATGCTGCAACCTTGCCGGCAATCGGTCTTGATTATGCGCCACCTCACTGCTCCTTCTTTAGGGCACCCACCACAAGCAACAGGGAGGGCGCCGAGGTCCCTCCGCTTCCACAGCAGATCTCGCCATGCGCCGTCGAGGCTGAGCCCCATGCTTGCAGGTGCGAATAGCACCCCATGCTTCCTTATGCCTCGACTCCCTATTCCCACTCTCCCCGTATTGCATAGTGTGCGCGACTTGTCACATGCTCCTTGCACCAATGTCGTACCTTCAAACTTGCTTTCCCTGTGCCTAGGGCTTGCCTACCCCCCCCTCCCTGCCCAAGTCATTGCTGTGCCACTGTGAGGGATGGGCAGAGCGGGGAAGAGAGCGTGGGGCATCGTTGGCTGGCCAGAGGTGGGCAGAGCAAGGGAGAGAGGGGTGGGCAGAGAGAGGGAGAGAGGGATGGGTGCAGCGAGGGAGAGAGGGGTGGGCAGAGCGGTGGTGAGTAGGTCAAGCCTGGTTTGGAGCAGGGGATGATGGTCTAATGTGGAAGAATGTAGTGGTGGGGTGGTGGTGGGGGGGGGGGGGGGGGGGGGGGGGAAGGGGGTGATGGAATGGCGGGGAGGGGACAGGGTGAGACTTGTCCAGTGCCCCGGAATACCGGGGGCTGGCGGGCGGCAGTGGTGGAGTGGGTCCACTTGATAGTGGTGTGCAGGTGAGAGAGGTGTGCAGTGCGTGGGTGAGGGGTGTATGCAGTACGGGAGATGTGAAAAAGGTGCGAAGTGCGTGGGTCAGCGGGTTGTGGAGCGGGGTCAGTGAGGTGCGGCGTGTGTGCAAGATGCATAGGCATGGCGCATATGCACCCAACCATGACTGATGGATATTGCGTGGGCAGCTGCTATGTGGAAGTGGCATCGCAACCTCCAAGCCCCTCCTTACTCCACCATTTCCCTCCCCCTCCAACCCTTCCCCACTGCAGGAAGTCTCCGTGCACACCTCGCTGCTATGCGTGGAGCCAAGGGGAATACTCGGGCATGAAGCAAAGGTTGAGGCTCCCTTGGTGGGAGACTGGGTGGGATAGGTTTGGGGGCGAGGGCCACACGCAGGGCCCGTGATTCAAGGGTATTCCACCCTGATTACCCTTACCAACGGCCTTTTTTTCAGGAATACCCTGATTTTCTAACGGTAAAAAGTTTGTGACCCTTTCTCAAAAAGTGTAAGGAATATTTTACCCTGCTGTAGTAAGGGTGCTTGACGTATTGCCCTGACGAGTCAGGGAGCACCAAAAACTACCCTGAAACAGAAAACTCCGAACCCTTGAAGCTCGGCAACTATCGAATCTGCGATGACGGGGAATCCAGGCGTGTGTCTTACATTTCTGAAATCCAGAAAGTTCCGGAACTCGGGCTGGTTAGACGGATCGCAGTGCATTTTGATGCGGCTTCGCGGATTCAACCTGGGGCAAAAGTTTCGCCAATTTTGGAACTTGTTTCGCCAATTAGAACTCTAAGACACGTGCCCTCGGCCACGCAGCCCAGACCCTGTCCCCGAAATTCGCAGCACGTTCTTCCCAGCCCATTCTCACTTGCTCCACCTCCTCCCCGTTCCATGACTTGGTCCCTCCCGCTATCTCTCAATCACTGCTTCCGAAGCATGCACGAAAAATGTAGCGCGCGACATATCGCAAGTTGACGCGTGCAAGTGCCACATCAGTAAACCTAGTCGCAAACACCAAGAGCCGTCAGAAAAAATGACCAAGGTCCCGAAGCACGTTAGGAAAAAACTGGTACAAGTTGGAAATATGCGTGTTGTTTTCAGGCAGAGACAATCAGTGTGAGGAAAAAGTTGCCCTGGCAGCATCAGGGTATTGCTTTGGTTTTCCCAAAACGCCCTGATTTTGACAGGGTACGCTAGTTTCCACCCTACATACCAGGGTAAAACTTTCGATGTACCCTGATTCCTAAGGGTGGCCTAAAACCAATTTATGGCCCTGGCCACACGCGTGCCATTGGGGGGAAGGGTCTGTAATCTGGGCAGTGATTGTGGTGCACGCGCGTGGTGCTGGTGGGGCGCTGGCGCAGGCAGGTTTGGGTAGGAATATTCTCGCACACCATCATTTTTTACCTGGCATGTCCCACTAACACTGATGCCTTGACATGGCCACAATTGTTCTCACTGGCAAGGCGTACGTAACATTTCAAGGCGTGATACTTATGTCCATCCGAGGAGCTTATGCTTCCGGTGCTCTCGACAGGGTGATATTTATTAATACAGCTAGCCTCTCTACACCATCTAGGAGGCTTTACAAACTCACTGTCTATGGCTCTGAGTGCCACCAAGCCAGAAAGGGCTGCATGCGGCTAGTCTTATTGCACCACCAACTGGAAAGAATGGGTGGGCTTGGGTTCGGTTTTGGGAGCTTGGGCACGTGATGCCCTGCCGAGTGGGTCCTGGATGGACTCCAAGTAAGATGGAAGAGGAGTGGAGAGGAGAGGAGAGGAGAGGAGAGGAGAGGAGAGGAGAGGAGAGGAGAGGAGAGGAGAGGGGAGGTGAGGAGATGAAGACGACGAGGAGAGGATAGGAGAGGAGAGGAGAGGAGAGTAGTGGAGAGGAGAGGAGAGGAGAGGAAGAGGAGAGGAGAGGAGAGGAGAGGAGAGGAGGGAACAGGAGAGGAGGGAACAGGAGAGAACCCAGGATGTTGTCCCGTTTTCCCTCACCTTGACCTGCAAAATTCCCCTTGGCACAGTGGCCACTTCGACGCACAAACTGAAAATGGGGCAGACCGGGAGGATCCAGGTGGCAGTAAGGGAGGAGCCACAGCGTGCGATGCGTACCCCATGGGAGGATGGGAGGGGGATGGGGAGAGGACGGGAGGTGGATGGGGACGCGGGTGCTGCACGGAGGACTGGAGTGGCCGGTGCTATTGACACCAAGGGGCAATGCGCACGACCATGCCGTCCTCGCCCAGCATCACTGGGGGGGTCCTCTGTGCTTCCCCCCTCACAGCACTGTGATTCCCCACCCAGTGGAATGGGAGCAGGGGGAAGACGGAATGGGAGCAGGGGTAAGACGGAATGGGAGCAGGGGGTAAGACGGAATGGGAGCAGGGGGTAAGACGGAATGGGAGCAGGGGGTAAGACGGAATGGGAGCAGGGGGTAAGACGGAATGGGAGCAGGGGGTAGGACGGAATGGGAGCAGGGGGTAAGACGGAATGGGAGCAGGGGGTAAGACGGTATGGGAGCAGGGGGTAAGACGGAATGGGAGCAGGGGGTAAGACGGTATGGGAGCAGGGGGTAAGACGGAATGGGAGCAGGGGGTAAGACGGTATGGGAGCAGCGGGTCTGAAGGAATCTAAGGCGGAATGGGTTTAGGAAGAAATAGGCGCGGGGATAGGAAGGATAGGCGCGGGGATAGTGAGGAGTGGCGTTGGAAGCAGTGGGGACAGTTGGACGGTGACAAATAAAAAACCAGAGTGAGAAGGGCATTTGAAGGAGTGAGTGGAGGGGGGCAGAGAGAGAGAGAGAGGTGGAAAGATAGACCGTGTGTGTGTGTGTGTGTGTGTGTGTGTGTGTGAGAGAGAGAGAGAGAGAGAGAGAGAGAGAGAGAGAGAGAGAGAGAGAGAGAGAGAGAGAGAGAGAGAGAGCAAGAGCGTGGAGAGGGGGGGGGCGAGAGAGAGGGAGTGAGAGAGAAAGAGGGAGAGAGAGTAAACCCTTCCATTGCCCTGCTTCCCCCCCTTCCATTGCCCTGCTTCCCCCCCTCACATTGCCCGAGGTCCTCCCCCTTCCATAGCCCTGCTTCCCCCCCTTCCATTGCCCTGCTTTCCCCCCTTCCATTGCCCTGCTTCCCCCCCTTCCATTGCCCTGCTTCCCCCCATTCCATAGCCCTGCTTCCCCCCTTTCCATCACCCTGCTTCCCCCCTTCCATTGCCCTGCTTCCCCCCCTTCCATTGCCCTTCTTCCCTCCCTTCCATTGCCCTGCTTCCCCCCATTCCATTGCCCTGCTTCCCCCCCTTCCATTGCCTTGCTTCCCCCCCTTCCATTGCCCTGCTTCCCCCCCTTCCATTGCCCTGCTTCCCCCCCTTCCATTGCCCTGCTTCCCCCCATTCCATAGCCCTGCTTCCCCCCTTTCCATCACCCTGCTTCCCCCCCTTCCATTGCCCTGCTTCCCCCCCTTCAATTGCCCTTCTTCCCTCCCTTCCATTGCCCTGCTTCCCCCCATTCCATTGCCCTGCTTCCCCCCCTTCCATTGCCTTGCTTCCCCCCTTTCCATCACCCTGCTTCCCCCCCTTCCATTGCCCTGCTTCCCCCCCTTCAATTGCCCTTCTTCCCTCCCTTCCATTGCCCTGCTTCCCCCCATTCCATTGCCCTGCTTCCCCCCCTTCCATTGCCTTGCTTCCCCCCCATTCCATTGCCCTGCTTCCCCCCCTTCCATTGCCTTGCTTCCCCCCCTTCCATTGCCCTGCTTCCCCCCCTTCCATTGCCCTGCTTCCCCCCCTCCCATAGCCCTCCTGCCAACCCCAAAGAGAGCGTGGATCCCCCCTAACCAGGGAGAGGGCAAGGGAGAGGGGAGAACGGGAGAGGGGAGAACGGAAAAGGGGAGCATTGGGGAGCGGGAGCATGGGAGAGGGGAGCATGGGAGAGAGGCGAACAGGGCAAGCGCGTGGAAGGGAGGGATTGGCGCTGCGATAGGGCGGGATTGGTGCTGTGATAGGGCGGGGATTGGCGCTGCGATAGGGCGGGGATTGGCGCTGCGATAGGGCAGGGATTGGCGATGGGAGGACGTGGGATGGGCTGAGGATGGGAAAGGGGGGGGAGGAGATTGCGTGCTGGGTGAAAGCGGGTACGCTGGAATCCGGATGAGGGTTGGGAAGCGAGGATGGAAAATCAGCGGGAAACAGGGGAAGCGGTTTGACGGGATGCGGGTGATAGGGGAGGCGATTATAGTACGGGAAAGAGGGAATGCGGAAGGCGGGCATCGCTCTCACGGTGTTAGCTGCGCGAAGCAGGTGTGGGAAGCAAGATGCGCGCTATATGCAACGGGCAGCGAGTCAGGTGCTTGGCGCGCTTGCGAGGATACACCTTTGGCCTTGCTCTTCAGGTCTTCGCGTAGCGCGCCCTAGAGTGCTTGTGTTGCATGCTGGTGAGGGAATATCATGCGGTGCGGGGATCTTAATGCACCACACTTCACAGAGTTACCTCTCGATGACAAGGCCGCCATGGATGCGATCAGCAGCTTCCGTGCAACAAATGTCACACAATGTCTTCTTGATAACAGTTTAGCTTGTATCAACGGATTCTACTCATCGAGCTCTATAAGAAGACCATTTTCTAATATTCGCACAGGGAACATTCGGTCGACTTATTCAAGCTCCAAAAATTCCGAGGGTCAAGTTCTGAGGAAAGTTTCGACATCAAAGCACAAGTCTCAGCTAATCCAAGGCCAACTTACCCATCGATCCTATGTCAACCATGAACTCGCCGATCCATCGTCATTTTATCCTTATGTTTCAACGTCTTAGAACCATGGATCCAGTCACGTTTCAGCGGATTATGATTCCACGACTTCTCCTCCCAAGATGCAGTCATCTGATTTATCAAGTCTTCAGAGCCGGCATCGTTTTGCTTTCTGACATTTTCCAAGCAAGCAATACGCTTGAAGGAAAAAAGTGTCGCGAACAGAAGCTGGAAGTTTAGGCGACGGTGCAGTATAAATGAAGAATCTGCTGGGAAACTCTCTACCTCTCTACTAATCCATTTCAGTTGTGCTCAGGAGGTACCAAATCATGGATGGAGATACAAGTATAAGGCAGCTCCTCCACGCAACATTTTCAGACTATCCCAGTTTTCTGTCATTCAACAACACTAGCTTCAGGAAGACAGATTTAACAACGTGAAGAGCAGGTTGGATCCTCGCCAAGCGATGGCCAAGACTGGACCAGATCCCAAGGAGGAAATACCTACTTTTAATATGACTGCAGAAGCAAATGAAGATGATGAGTACTATTTCAACACAAGCCTGAGGGATCACAAGACAAAGGATGCTGTTGCTGGAGACATCATGAAGTTTCAGCTTTTTAGGCCGGTGAACTATGTGGATCTTGAAGCTAGGAAGCTACAAGAGAGTTATATGAATGTGGAAGAGGTTGAAACCATCGGTCGGCATGCTTGCAGAAGGGGAGGGCTAAAACCAGCTGTAAGTTGGATGGGACCTTCATCAGGAATATTGGCCCACAGCAAGCACGAACAACCATTGGACCTGCTGGGGGAACCTGTCCGACGAGCGAGAGCCAGAACCAAAATGCGGCGCAGGGGCATGTTCCCGTAACTGCATTCCCGTAACACTAACAGCTATTTCGCTACCACTAAGCCCCATTTTGCCACATGAGTAGGAGGTAAGAACTGTAAGGAAATTCCCTTTTCCTTACAGGGCTCGACTACAGCCCATACACCCTCGACTCCCGGAAGTCCAGGCCCGGCCAACTTCTTCGGTCCCGAACCACTTCGCGAACCCAAACCTAGACGCGCGGCACTTCCGTAGCCTTCGCAAACCGGACCGCCCCAAGCTGTTCGCGTGGTTCTCGGCTAACTCTGATTAATTCATAGCAGCTGGTATCAAAGCTCCGTTCCTGCTTGCTTAGTCTTCCGTAGAGTAATCCGTTTATATCGGGAGAGGACCCAACAGAATAGAGGGTTGGCCTGCGGTTGGTAGGTGAGCTGGTTAAAGCTTCTCCAACTAGAAACGTGTGCACCCTTAGATCTATCAGGTGAGCATGTCTATCACGCCGGAGACCTCTGCCTGTCGTAGTGTTAGGAACGTGACTCAGGAGGAGTTTGCCGAGTTGCAAGCCAGGGCGGCTTCAGTGACGACACTGCAGGCCTAGCTTCAACAACTCACCGATAAGTTCGAGTCGCTGGGAAGCAAAGTGCAGATGCTGCGCAATGAAAACTTTTCGCTTCGCCAGACGCATGGTGAAACGCGTCAGGGGTGGCCTGTTACCCTGAGACGAAGATGCTGCGAATGAAGCGAGGGCTTTGGCGACACCTGAAGTAGTTGAAGAAGTCCACAGCGAGCCGCGGGCGGCCATTAAAATCAAACCTCCGATGCCACCGCTGTTCAACCCGACCGACAGAACACCTACAATGAGCGGTTGGCTGTTCGCCATGGAAATCTTCTTCACAGCAGCAAGTATTAATGACAACGCGTCACGTGTCAACTTGGTTGTGTCGCTGCTGAGGGGACTGGCATTCGACTGGTGGCGCATGCATTTGGACGAGGGAGGAGCCTTGGCAGGGAATCCACGGGTAGTAGATGGGGAGCACGGTTCATCAACGGCTCAAGCAGAATATAACTTTGGGTCGGCCACGATCCGCACGTGGAAAGCTTGGGGCGAAGCATTGAAGAGCCAATTCGAGCACATATCCATGCATGAAACCGCTCGCACAAGGCTTCGGATGTGGAGACAGTTGGGCTCTGTCCAAGAATACACGGCTTCGTTCTTGGTGCTATGCAATCAAATCGGAGGGCTTAGCGAAGATGAAAAGATCGATCGCTACGTGGGTGGTCTCAAGCCAGAGATTCAGCAAGAGATCGTCCTGCGAGCCCCGGCAACACTCAACAAAAAATTGTCTGAATTGCGGATGCACTGGACGCAAGGCGTGGACTCACGAGGGCAGGTTTCTGGGAGGGAAATTGCTTTCAAGGCCAACCCCAACACACATCAATCAACGGCATGGACGTGCTTGCAGCCCGGGTATTTTCCGGATGATGTTTCCGCTGCAACTAGCCGGGCCACATGGTGAGGGACTGCCCGCAGCTGAAGAAGAACTTAGCTAACAATGATAAGCAATCGGGAAATGGAGATCGTCAGTAGCAGATGGGCCACCTAGTGACTTGACTGCGTTGCCCAAACGCCAACACCCCCACCAGGTTATAGTGCCTATTTGGGCTATCGACCATTCCTGGCTGAATAAGCGGGGTGAACTGGTTGATCGCCCTTTGCTAGTTGAAGGAAGAGTTGGCGACACCCGCATAAAAAAATTTGTTGATGGTGGGTCAAGCCACAGTTTGACGGATGTGACAAAGGCGAAGAAACTCGGATTGCAATTGGAACGCTGCATGCCCGAAATCGACGCGAGGTTGGTTGACAGCACCCCACTGGCGATTCGGGAGCGCGTGCCTTACGTGCGAGTCACCTATGGCGAAAAAATTAGTTTCACGACGAAGATGCTGGCGACAACTTTGGACGGGTGGGACATGCTGCTGGGACGCGATTGGCTACGTGAATACAACCCGAGCATCGACTCACGGACGAGCGATTGTCGCATCAAGTGGAGTGGCGAGTGGCGACGGCTACCCAAGTGGAGCAGTCAAGACTTGACAACATCGACAGTCAGCACAGTAACTACAGCGACGGAAAGTATTGCCCGGATAATTGCCTTAAAACATTTCTCGTACTGGTTTGGTGCCTTCTTTGTTTAGTTACGAATCAAATTTCGGGGTTGGATGTAAAGTAGTACTGTACTGTATATGACGGATGCTGGTTTCAGTTTTATAGGGGTCGATTTTTTACCGAGGACGAGATTTCGTCTGCGTGGGTGCATCCGGACAGTTTAGGCCAAGCAGCGTAGTAGATCTATTTCCTAACCTCGCTATTTCTTCTTACTTGCCCTCGCGACTATCGAGTAGTCAGGAGATAGGCTAGGACCGCTGCGATGATTAGGCCGTCATGAAACCGTTAGATGAGGCGCTCTACGCATAGATCATTCCCTTGTTGCGGAGGGGGTAGAGCAATCGTTGAATCGCTAAACAGCTAGCCATAGGGAAGAGTTCGGCCAATCAAGGCGATTGTAGAGTCTAGCCGCGATGACGTGCGTCCTACGATGCCCTCAGCCGGTCGCCCTCGCTTAGTGACAGAGAGAGTTCGCCGCGGCATAGTTCGGTTGATTACCCTCGAGGAGGCAGAAATCTCCGCTCACGTGGCGAAAATCGTTGAGAAGCAGCACGGCATCACGTTGCATCCTAAGACATTGCGTAACGCTTTGAATGGGAGCCGACTTGTCGCAATCAAGCATCCCAAGAAACCGCGACACTCTCGGAAAAACATACGCGATAGGCTGGAATGGGCGCGTGCCCACGCAGACTGGACGGTTGACGACTAGAAGCGAGTTATCTGTGCGGATGAGACCATGATCGGTCGTCTTGCATCCGACTGACTCTCATACGTCTGCGTTCACGAAGGGACTGCCCTCCAAAGACACCAAATCAAGCAGACCGTCAAACACGGGGGCGGTTGCTTGATAATTTACGACTGCATGTCGTAAAAGGGAGCGGGTTTCATGAGCAAAACATAAGGTAGGGTGGACGGATTGCTCTCGCTGAATATACTGCAGGACGATCTCAACTGTACGATTGAGCTTTACCAGCTTACACCCTCAAAAACTATCTTCCAGCACGACAACGACCCGAAGCACAAGTCGCGTATCGTACAGGAGTGGCTTTGTGTGAGAGTACGACCCCGTTACACCACTTGGCCTTTTCTTATTTCCTTCCCTTTTCATTTCTCTTTTTACCGCATCTCATTTGGTTTCCTATTCTTCCTTTTCCATTAACCTTTGGTTTATCCTGCTATTATCATTATATCACCGACCAGGCTTGGGATGTATTGGTGCGCTCTATCTAGCGTAATCCTGCTCTAATCCCTTAAAGCCAATAGCCTCGCGTGGCTATACGCAGGGTGATTCTATCTTCTAGAAGGGTCTATTCCCTTAGGATAAGATAAACCTGGTTACCTGATGTACTCTGGAAGTATAAAAGCGCCTTGTACTGATCGATAGTGCAACCTTTCCTCGACACATTCGATCCTGTGACACTTGGTATCAGAGCTTTTCTCACTCGGCCGCGCTCAGCTAAGCAGCAGCAGCGGGGATCCTGCCTCGAAAAACCGCCGGGGGCGACCAATTCGACGCCGATTCTGGTAAGCACCAGCTCCGCGATTTTCGAATTACCCCCTCCGTGCGTGTTTTGAACAGGATGGCAACCTTCGACAACGCCGAGGTTACCCAGCAGCTCTTCGCGCGCATCGCAGCCCTTCAGGAGGAAATGCGAGCAGATCGCGAAGCGTGGCGAAACCAGTTCGAGCGAGTAACTCGACTCGCCGGAGCGCAGCACGAGACGACAACGGCGACGACGCAGCAGTCGCAGCAGTTTCTCGAGGCTCCGAAACCGCGCCCACCTGAGCCGTTCGATCCGAGCGATCGAAACTCCGACGCCCGCAGATGGATCGCCGGGATGGAGATCTACTTCGCAGCCGTCGGATGGAGCTCGTCAGTCTGGGACGGTCAACGTGTACGACTCGCGGCGACACTGATGCGAGGGCCGGCACTCGAGTGGATTGGCGGCAACAGCACCTTCATCCACGGTGAAGCCACGTGGCAGCAGTTCCGCGCCGACCTGCTGAAACGATTCGAGCCGATAAATTCAGGTTTCCTTGCCCGCGAAAAAATTCATCGCCATCGACAGTTCGGGAGTGTAGCACAGTACACGCAGCAGATGGAAGAATTTTATAACAGAATTCCCGACCTGACCGAAGGGGAAAAAGTGCAATCGTACCTCGCAGGGCTGAAGACTGAAGTCAAACGACAGGTGGCAGCGTCAAACTACGCGAGCTACA